AGGGTCGCTGTTTATTAAAATTTGTCACAAGCCCGTGAAAGTAAAAAACTGGGAGTGATTTATATTGCCCTCCTGCTCCAGCCCTGCTTCCCTCCTGCACCACGCACCTTCAATTATTTGGGATTTCAGGCCACTTTGGGCCAACCCTTCCTGCAAAAAAAAGGCAGCTTCGGTGGGTGCCTCCCGTCAATTTGGGAGAGGGGCTGATCACAGCAGTTTTTCCCCTGTCCCGAGTCTAATTTGGTTTTTTGGCCACTTTTTCCTCGTTATTTGCCTCGTGTGTTGTCAGTAGCTCCCATAACCTGTCCCAAACCCAGCCCCTCCACCGTTTCTATTTAAGATCAACAGTGTTTCTGTGTATTTTAAATCAAATCATGAAAGGTGCTGGAAACTTGGATGACTATTTTTTGAGTTTAGTGAGTTCTAGGTTGGTTTTTTTTTGAGAAAGGCGTTTTGGTTTTTTGTTGTGGTTTTTTTTTAAAAAAATCAGTTGAAAATACTGAAAGAAAAAAACCCCACTTCTATTAATCAGGAGGTTCTTCTAAGAATCTGTTTGGCCAAACATGATTTCAGATAAGTCCATAAATTGTTGATGAAGACCTTTGTGCTACAATACCCCTGCATTTTACGGCAAACGATGCTACGATGTCCCCAGACCTCATTCTGGCTCAGGCAAATATGTGAAATGCAGTTGATTTATTGGGGTTTTTTGTTGGTTTTTTTTTTTTTCTCCCCTGTAGGTACGAAGCAATGGCACTTGATAAATCACCTGCAGCCAGAAACGTCCTACGACATTAAGATGCAGTGCTATAACGAGGGCGGGGAGAGCGAGTACAGCAACGTGATGATCTGCGAAACCAAAGGTGAGCGGCCACTCGCCGCGAAATATCTCCTCGTGCTGAACCCTGGGGGGGGGGTGTTCCTCAGGGTTAGAGTCAGCTGCCACGAAGCTGGTAATTTTCCGGAATGTTTCGGAGGATTGTTTTGTCTTCCCAAGCCGGGATGGTTTGGAACATATGGAAAGTGAGACGTTGCACTCCCGAGAACGATTTGCTTGCCCGGAGAGATAGTGGTGTTGTTCTGGGCTGGGTGGTTTTTTTTTTTTTTCCCCTGCTGCACTGATAGCCTCTCCTTAGGAGACAACCCCGCTCTTGGAAGATGACAGAATTGATTTGTATGTCTGTTTTATGTCTTGGGGGCTCTGTGACACGTTGTATAAGTGCAGAGCACAGCAATTGATGGTTATGTTGGCTGCCTCCATCGCTAATCCCGCATGCCTCTGGCACAAAGTTTGTACTGTTCTCTGGAAGTGTCAGATATGGCAGTCACATTTATTTTCCGAAGAATTCCTGTCTCCTTTAATCTCTAAAACCAAGTAAGGCTGTAAAGGGAAAATGCAGACAGTAAACTTCAAATGCTGTGCTGTGAAAAAATGTTTTTGAAAAAAAAAAAGAAAAAAAAAGAAAAAAGCCCTCTAGGAGCGGAAGCATCAACATTTAGCAAAGTCTGTAGTGAAGCCTTTGAAAGAAGGGCTGGGAGCTGCAGGGTTTCAGGCTATGCACAGGGTTGGTCTTCCTCCTGAAAGGAATGTAACTTTCTTCCCTAATTTTAAACTTGGCAAGATGCAATCTGTCGTTCTCTTCCTGAAAATGCATCTCCTCCGGGCTTACGGGGGGGAAAGCAGCTTATCTAACGTATCTGCACCGAGGCACTTGTGTCTCTGACCAGCTCTACTCCTAAACCAAGCCCCTCTTTTAGGTTCTTAGTGTTGAAGGAAACGAATCTGAGCTGGGGCGTGCTGGAAACAAATTTAATTCCTGGGTTCAACTAGCATCTCGTTTTCAGTGATTTTCTCTTTGGCTCCTGGTACCTGAAATAGTCTGGGTTTTGAAAAACGGGGTTAGCAGGGTTCACATCAGATAAAGCAGGTCACCTGGCAGCCGTGAGGCAAGAGAAACGCCTCTTGTGGTTTTTCCTGACCTCAGAAGTGGAAAGATTTGCGCTCTTTTTCAAAGTTGGGAGTTAGTGCAGTTCTAGCTGTGAGTACCTCGAGCTGCTCGTTAAAGTTCCCAGTGACCTCGGGGAGAGGGTTACAGCGGGAGAGTCCCCGGGTTCCAAGGCGAGTAGTTATTACCCAAAAGTAGTTTGCCTTCTCGTTAAAGGCTTTAATAATGACTTGGAAGCTTTCTCTTCGAGGCATTGGGATTCTAACTCGGCAGTAATTATTTTCATTTCATAATAAAAAAGTGCATTTAGTAAATCTTCCCCGTACTTGTCTCTTCTTCCATCCAGTGAAACGCACGCCGGGAGCATCTGAATATCCAGTGAAGGACCCGAGTACCCCCCCAAACCCCCCCGAGCGAGCTGCGGGCGGCGGAGCCGGCCCTTCCAACGGCCCCGTTCGCAGCAGCGACATGCTCTACCTGATCGTGGGCTGTGTCCTGGGCGTCATGGTCCTCATTCTCATCGTTTTCATCGCCATGTGCCTCTGGAAGAACCGCCAGCAGAACGCCATGCAGAGTGAGTTCCTTCTGCTTTCCCTTCACAACAAAAATGTTATTGGAGTCAAATTAGTACCGTTCGTGTTACATTTTTAGGAATGGGAAGCGGTTTCCTCGTGTAAGCCAACTGGCATTTATTTAGTGTTGGGCTTTCTAGGTGTGCCTTAGGTGAAGGTTTGGGTTTTTTAAGAGCAGCAATGTCTCTGTTTCTCTCTGTTTCTCTCTTTCTCTCGGTCAGTGCTTGCCGCCTGCCTGCGTTGCTGCACGGCTGTGCTGTGGTATCACCCAAAGAATGGTGTAGGAGATGCCTGGGCAAAAGCTCTTCAGCTTGTGCTTAAAGTTAAGCACCTGCATAGTTTTCTGCTGATGACAGTTCTGACAGAACTTGATTGTAATCATGAGTATTTGTTAAAGTGTGGAGACTGAAGCCCCATATCTCTCCTTCTCCCTCTCACACGTATATCTGGAAAGAAAAAGAACTTGCAGCACTTGGAGGAGAAGTCCCTTGTTACCCCTCAGTCCCTTCACACAGAAATGATATCCAAGTCTTCCAGAGAGGTGTTAATAAGGAAAACCTCTGTGCCCACCAAACGGTCCCGTCCTGGCAGAATCTCTTCAAGGCAAGGAATAACCTCATGAGGTTCAACAGGGAAAAGTGTAGGGTCGTGCACCTGGGGAAGAAAAATGTCAGGCACCAGTACAGGTTAGGGGTGGACCTGCTGGAGACAACTTCTGAAGAGAAGGATCTAGGGGTCCTGGTGGACAGCAAAATGCCAATGAGCAAGCAGGGTGCTCTTGTGGCCAGGAAGGCCAACGGAATCCTGGGCTGCGTAGGGAAGAGTGTGGTCAGCAGGTCAAGGGAGGTCATTCTGCCCCTCTGCTCTGCACTGGGGAGGCCACAACTGGAATCCTGCGTCCAGTTCTGGGCTCCCCAGTTCAAGAGGGACAGGGAAGTACTGGAAAGAGTCCAGCGAAGGGCAACAAAGATGATTCAAGGATTGGAGCATCTCCCTTATGAAGAAAGACTGAGAGAGCTGGGACTCTTTAGTCTGGAGAAGAGAAGGCTGAGGGGAGACCTTATCAATGCTGACAAGTATCTCAAGGGAGGGTTGAAGGAGGAGGGAGCCAGACTCTTTTCAGTGGTTCCCAGTGAGAGGACGAGGGGCAACGGGCACAAGTTGGAACATAAGAGGTTCCACTCAAATATGAGGAAAAACTTCTTCCCAGTGAGGGTGCCAGAGCCCTGGAACAGGTTGTGGAGTCCCCTTCTTTGGAGATTTTCAAGCCCTGCCTGGATGCTCCTGAGTAACATGCTCTGACAAGCTCTAGGCAATCCTGCTTCAGCAGGGGAGTTGGACTAGATGATCTCTATGGTCCCTTCCAACTCTAAAAAAAATTCAGTGAAATTCAGTGAAACTTTTCTCCTTTGGCAATAAACAGGCTCTTGGCAATCATGTCTCTCACAGAATACGACCCTCCTGGCTATCTCTACCAAGGGGCAGATGTCCCTGGGCAGTTGATGGAGTACACAACCTTGCCCGGCATGAGCCGCCTCAACGGCAGCGTCCACGGCAGCTTCATCGGCAACGGTGGCCTCAGCAATGGCTGTCCCCACCTCCATCACAAAGTCCCCAACGGAGTCAACGGGATGATAAGCGGAGGAGCAGGGCTGTACCCGGGACACACCAACTCCCTGCCCAGGACCCACCTGGACTATGACCATCCCCACCACCTCCTGAACGTAAGCGCTTCCAGTGGGGGGAGGCTCTGCCTGGACCTCGGGGTTGGTGCCGAGGTTGCGGATGCAGATTTAGTTGGGGTGGGGGAAATAACTCATCCATTGATAACAGCCAGTTCCACTAAATTCCTTATCCCAGAGGAAGCAACTGGGCTGATATTCCTGATGCAAACATCATGGTTTTCATTTGAGAATATCGGATGACAGCAAGAATTCCACTTACTCTGGGAAATCTGCCTCTACCCTCCCTCTAACAGCGTGTAAGCTCTGAGAATGCTCCAGCGCTGGGCTGAGATACTTTACTTGTACATATGGTATTTCTCAATCTTCAAGTTAAATAGATTTAATTATAGCCGCTTATTCTGCAGCTTTATGGATCACCCGTTTTTCCCCCACCTGTTTCAGATCTGTAACTCTAAGCAATGCTATTAATTACGGCAAAGCACGAATGTAGCAGGAGGTTCCATAAAATAAAATGCCCCATACATCTTGAAATGCAGCAATGTAATAACCCTGGGTTTTTTGGTGTGTTGGGGTTTTTTTTGTTGTTTTTTCAGTCTCTTGTTTGTGACTGAGACAGGCTCATTTTGTGTTTTGAAATTTAAAATAAAATTAAAACCTGATTCAAGTCTGCGACCCAGCCTTTGTGTGCTGTGGAAAAATACTTCATTTGCTGAAATGTGTCCCGTTTCCAAGAGAGAATAATGATTTCATTATTGTCTATGGAAACAGATGGCTTGCATTCAAACTTACTAAACTTACTCAAAACTGTGAACATTGCCCAGGAAAACTGAAAGAAAAAGTTCAAAAGTCTGAATAACCCATGCTGTTTCTGGAGGGGAAAAAAAAAAAAGGGGCTATTGTTTGTGTTAGTAATTGAACACAAGCACTTCATTTTATTGAACAACAAATTAGCACTTGCACAGTAGTTACCACTTCACTGAACTCCAGTTTGAGCCCAGACCGGTTGGTTCTTCACCCGGTTCTGCCTTCGATCTGCCCATCTAGCGAGAAATGCTGCTTTTTGGTTGCTTTCAAGAGCAACTGAGGCCCAAACTGTGGCTTTTTGGACCTGTCCAGCCTCCCGGGGGGTGAAATGCTTCAAAAGCATCCACCTGTACAAGCCCTCGGGAAGGGAAGGTGGTCCAGGAGAAGGCTTGGGGGCTTGTTTTGTCCCTCCTAATTATTATTTTTTTTGGAAGCAGGGAAACGGGGAGCTTGAGCAGAGCAGGTGGTGGTGCCTGGAGCTCCTTGTGTCGCACATGGGACACGCCACCGTCCCCGTGCAAATAGTTGGGTTGTGCTTCTCCCCCTCCACGGCAGAGAAAGCTGGAGTCGCGCAACCTCTTCCCACCTAGAAGGATGGGGGCTGGCACAGGGCAAGAACAGGATGTTCTCATCCTTGTTAGGGCTCTCTTTATTGTTTCATTGATTGGGCTAAATGAGGAAGAGAGAAACTGGCCGGGATGGCAATCAAGACTAATTAGGTATTTCCTCAGTGCTCCCTATCGGACTGATGAGGGGCTGCAAAAAAATGAAAGAGAAGTCTTGATTTTGCAGGAATAGGGGTCGTTAGGAGTTACCCACCCCCTTGAAATGTCAAAAAGCAGGTGAGCTCTCCCAAAGGGGCTCCCCCAAAAGGCAGCCCGGTAGCCTGGCTCTGCAGTCCCGCTTGGGAGCGGCTCCCGCCCCGGTGTCCGCCCGGCCCCTAACAATGAGGTATGTGTTAATCTGGGCATTTCTGCTCGTTCCTCACTGCCCCCGCGGCCAAAACCAACAACCCAAAATCCCTCTCGCCCCGAGTCATTGCTGGCGGAGGAATTACCCCATCTGTAAAAATACCAACCGGTTCGAAAAATCAGCACGGCAGAGTGAACTGATCTAATCGGAGTAATTACAGGAAAGTGGGATGGGTTTTTGCTGTGACATCAGCTCTGCCACTTTAATGCTCTGTCTCCCCGAGCGGGCACCGGTTGCTAAATGAACAGCAATTGGCTTTCATGTCTGTCATCAGCGTTAAAAATAAACATATTTACAGCCTGTTTATTAAATTAAACCTGAGCCCTACGAAGCCCAAAACAGACCGGGGAAATTACCACATACTTGTCCAAGCTGCAGTTATTTACTTTTCTCAGCCCCCCCCTTTGGCTGCGCACAATCGCCCAGTGTTGCCTGTGCCACGCTGTGGGCACCCGGCCCGGGGTCCGGAGGGTGGTACGAGTTCAGGGACCAAATGCTGACTGTCCCTCCTATATGTTCACATACAGATTGATTTATTTTTTTTTTACTCTTTGTTAATTTGTGGTTGGTTTTTTTTCCACTCCTCCCTGCTGCAGGGCGGTGGGATGTACACAGCGGTGCCACAGGCAGACCCCTCGGAGTGCATCAGCTGCCGGAATTGCCGCAACAATAACAGGTGAGGTGAAACCCCACCAAGGCAGGACCTTCCCACCTTTCCTCTCAGCTGGGGTTAGGGGAAAGGGAACCCGAGTCCCCAGCCCAGGGGATGGAGCAGCTCCCTGTCAGCGTGAGAACCATCACTGATCATCCCTGGGACGGAGTAAAACAAGTTAGGGGTGGACCTGCTGGAGACAACTTCTGAAGAGAAAGATCTAGGGGTCCTGGTGGACAGCAAAATGCCAATGAGCAAGCAGGGTGCTCTTGTGGCCAGGAAGGCCAATGGAATCCTGGGCTGTGTAGGGCAGAGTGTGGCCAGCAGGTCAAGGGAAGTCATTCTCCCCCTCTGCTCTGCACTGGGGAGGCCACAACTGGAATCCTGCGTCCAGTTCTGGGCTCCCCAGTTTAAGAGGGACAGGGAACTACTGGAGAGAGTCCAGTGAAGGGCTACAAAGATGATTCAAGGATTGGAGCATCTCCCTTATGAAGAAAGACTGAGAGAGCTGGGACTCTTTAGTCTGGAGAAGAGAAGGCTGAGGGGAGACCTTATCAATGCTGACAAGTATCTCAAGGGTGGGTTGAAGGAGGAGGGAGCCAGACTCTTTTCAGTGGTTCCCAGTGAGAGGACGAGGGGCAACGGGCACAAGTTGGACCATAAGAGGTTCCACTCAAATAGGAGGAAGAACTTCTTCCCAGTGAGGGTGCCAGAGCCCTGGAACAGGTTGTGGAGTCCCCTTCTTTGGAGATTTTCAAGCCCCACCTGGATGCTCCTGAGTAACATGTTCTGACAAGCTCTAGGCAGTCCTGCTTCAGCAGGGAGTTGGACTAGATGATCTCTATGGTCCCTTCCAACTCTAAAAATTCAGTGAAATTCAGTGAAGTTTATTAAACCCCCAGAGCTCCTTTAGCTCCACACGTTCCTCTGGCGCTCTCGAGGAAGTGAGGCAGGTTGGGTGCTGGATTTTTATTATTATTGGTTTGTTTTGGTTTTTTTAAGACCTGATTTCCTGCGTTTTCTTCAGTTTGGAGATAACAAAATGATTCCATATGGAGTTTGTCAAATCGGATTTAATTGCTCTTCTGTATTTTACATTTCCTGCCGTTCCGTTAAGCAACACCAACGAGCCAGAGTCACAGCTTTGCTGTCACGGCGCTGTTTTCTGTAAAACATGGGATTTGAGGTTCTTCAGGCTTTTCAGGAGCAGCCTGGCCAGCCATTGTCAGTGTGGGATATGGTTTGTGTGAGAAAAGGGATTCTTGTATAGAAAAAGGGAGAAATCTGTCTCTGTTGTAGCTGGGAGTCTGGATTTTTATTAGGTTTTTCACTTTTGAAAGTTTTAAAGAATACCCTTCCAGGCTTCTGACTAAATCTCTAGTTATTTTAATGACTAAAAACAGGAGTGAAAGTCAGAGGTGCTGGACTGGTAAATTCTGGATTTTTTTTCAATCGTGCTTTGAATTCTCTGTCTTATTAAAATTGTGGGCTGCCTTTAGGTGTACATCTGGAGAAGCTGGGCTGAAAGGAAGCTGCTGCTGAAGGCAGCAAACCTTTTTTCTGCTCTTTTTTCATGGGTTTTGCTTCCCAAAACATAATTGGCTTTAAATTCTTCCTCCTTCCCTAATTACACGGGTGATGGTGTGGTGGGGATGGGCCGGTGCCGGCAGGTGGACCTGGGTGCTGGACCTGGGTGCGCTGTGGCCAGACCAGTGTCACACTGGTCCCCGGGCAGACCAGTTGGAAGCCAGTTGCCTGTTCCAGTAACAGGCAAGGTGTGCTCAACTGGCCGTTACTGGGACTGTGCTGTGTGTTACACCATTATTAAGAACTTGCTTCCCAGTTTTAAGCATATTTAAATTTTTAATTGCGCTTCGTTTTTTTGTTTTGTTTTGTTTTTTCTTAAGACAGCAGGGAGGATGGGTTCCATCCTCTGCGTCCTCCCAGATGGGTCATCAGCAGGGTCTGAACTTTGAATTTTCACATCCCTGGGCTATATTTGAGTGGGGGACAGAGAAACAAGCTGTCCCTTACAGCTGCCTTCCCCCGGAGGGGACCATTAACCTCCTCTTGGCAGGAGCCGGGGCCACGCCGTCCCCTTCCCGGCGCTGGAGGAACGGAAGGAGGACATGGGAGAGGGGGAACGGGGGGACCAGAGACGTGCTGGGGTATTACACCAGGGAGCAGGATGTGCGGCCGGGGTGAGGAGGAGGAGGAAGAGCTGGTGGGTTAGCGCGGTCAAGCTGGGAGGTTTTTTGGCAAGTGGAAATTAGGGGCTGGGGTCTTTTCCCCGTCTTTGTTCAACCTCGGGGCTGCTTTGGGTAGGTCAGGGCTGTCCCCTCTGTCCTGTTTGCGTTTGTGTCTCGTGTCCCTCCCTCAAATTATCGCGTCTTGTGTATTAAAAACACAGACCTCCCCCTGCAGAACACCTTCCCCAGGAGGGGGGGTGGGTTTCTGGTGGAAACACCTCCAGCAAGATGATGGTCTCCAATCCCTGAGCACTCCAGGTGCACCTGGTCTGGCTCATACCTTCCACCTTGGTGCTGCTAATTCCCAAATTAACCCATTTCCACAGAATGCCTGGAATTGCTGCTGATTTGGGTTGAATTTAGCGGTCGCTTGAATTTTGACCACGTGCAAATGGATCCTAAAGGCTTCGCCTGTGCCTTAGCTGGCTATTGTGGCTGCTTTCAGCAATAGCCATCTCGGAACAGGGTTTATTATTACAGTGCTGAAATCCCTCAGTTTTCTGTTTAAATTAGCACTTTATGCTCTGGGAAGGGCTGGTGGAGGTTTGCCAGAGGCAGGAGTTGCTGAAACGGGGATACCCGCTCTGCTGGTGCGGACAGAGCCGGTAAGAACAGTGTGGTTTGTGCTCCCTTTACCTTGGGATTGAGAATTGTTTTTTTTTTTGTTTTTTTTTTTTTTCCTTCTGTGCTGCTTTTAACACTGAAACTTTCTGGCTGCTTGATGGTGGCCAAGAAATTCACGTTTTTGCAGATCTCTCTCCTTTGCAAAGTCACTGCGTTCCGGTGGGAAATCTGAAATGCACACTTCAAATAAACCCCTATCGATCCCTTTTTCCAGCTCTTTAAATCTTAAATTCTGTTGGTGTGGGCTTTCCAGTTAGGTCGTAGTTTGGTAGGGTTTTTGAGAAACTGATAGAAAATGTGTTTTTTCTGTCTGTCTATCTATTTTCACACACTGCTCTGGATATACCGATGGCTACTTGCCATCAAAACGGGGTTATTTAAGCTTAAAAAGCTGAACTGCTGTTTAGAAGCATCATTTGAGCCCATACAGTAAGACAAAGATCTCTGTAGCTTTAAAAAGAAAGTCCCATAAACATGCAAACCCAAACATCTTAAATGGTTCCTCTAAGAATATATATTTAAAAAAAAATAATAATAATAAGTGAGCGCAGTCAAAACCTCTGTGGAAAGAAATGCAAACTAATAAATGGATTTGTTTGAAGACCAGATGTGTTTCATGTGGATTCTTCAGTGGCTTCTGTGGTATTTTGGTACTTGGAATAATGATTTTTGGAGGTGGTTGTGGGAGCAGAAGGACCAAACAGGAGAGCGGAGGCTGAGGATGGAGGTTGGTGCTGCTCCCTCCTCGCTGCTGCCTGAGGGGTCCCCCTCATCCCCTCTTCTGGCTTTGGAAGTGAAACCTCTGCTGGGGGTGGGAGGTGGGGGGGACCTTCCTCTGGTTCCTCCTCTAGAAAGTTGATTGGTGTCATTTGTGGGTGTTGTGTTGCTCTGTCAGTTCTGACAATACTGGTGGTGGTTTTCAGGTGGAAGTAGAAACTGAGGCTCCAGGCAAGTTTGTAGGACAAGTCCTTCAAGAGTGATGTTTTTTACACATCACCGTCACCTTTTTAATGCCATCAAAGTGCTTTTGGGGGACTTTGGGCAGGTCCTCACCATGATTATCAAGCCTAACCTCTCCCAGTTTGAAATCAGTTGGAGTTTAGGAGCTGATCCCTCCGTACCTCTGGTGGCTGCCACCCTGTCCCCAGCGGTGCCAAAGCCTGTCCTCATCCTTCTTCCAGCCACACAGCCCTCACACGGGTCCCGCTGTTGGCTTCTTGCAGCTGGGTTTTGGGCCAGAATTGCTCTCAAGAAATGCAGAGGAGAACCTGAACTGCCAGATCCCAGCTCTCAATTGGAATATTTCAAAATGCCAGCACTTCGGTAGCGTCCCAGGGATAAGCAGCTCCCTCCAGTGGGATGCGTCAGGTCTGGCACCGCCAGCGGGACTGATGGCAGTTGTATTTCAATTTGGAGGAAAAAAAAATTAAAATAATTAATTCTCTGAGTCGTATCCATATCAGCATATTAAAAAACCATGTGGGGCCCTGTTTAGCCTTCAGGGGAGCGTTGTGGACCCTCCCAGGCCCCCGGTGGGGTCAGGCTGCTCCATCCTGCTTCGGATGCTTCTCTTTTATCCGGGGCTCCGTCCCCGTTCCGGGACACGGGGTGCGTTGGGGGGTTGGTTTCCCCAAGCCCATGGCAGCTGTACAAGCAAAACTTTCCCTTCTGTGTTGTATAAAACCACACTGAAGTGTGATTTTTGGGGCTTTCTTATGTAGGAATTGCTTATATAAATGTTCTCCGGGGCCGCATTGTTCCCAGAGCTCCAAACTCTGCCGGCATTTTCCCTGCTGGCTACCCTGGGGGAGCATCTCTCCTAAGAACCAACTCCTTTTTCTTTAAAGGTTAAACAGCTCGGCTGGAACAATTGTTTTAGCAGTTTATCTTCAATTTCACAGCCTTACGCACGTATTACAGTGCCCCAGTCCAAGTTACACAGCAGAGGGGGAGTTATATTTATAATATCGCATCTATTTCTCTAATTGGCGTGCAATTGATAACGCTTACTATTTATTTTCCAAGGTACGTCAGTTTGCTGTTTGGGTTCCAAAACATGAGCTCTTTTTCTTGGCAGTGAAAACCTGTTTTCTGGGGCTGCCTCGATGGAGAAATGGGCTCACAAGTCAAGTCATCAGGTCACAGTCGGTGCGGGGAGTAACCGAGCCCATGTTTGGAACACTTGGGCTGCCTGTCGGGGCTTAAAAACACTCAGTCCTTTTCTTAATGTCAGCATTGATCCAAAAATATACGTAAAACTTCATCGGCGAGCTGTCTGCCTGTTGTTGCAGTGAGTTTACAGCCGTGAAGGACTTAAAAAAAATTGCAGTTTTTCGGGATAAATGATGGAAAGAAGAGTTTCTTTCTCTCTCTTTCTCTCTTTCTGTCTCTCTTTCTCTCTTTCTGTCTTTCTAAGACTAACCCCTCCTCGCCTTGTCTCCCATCTGCAGGTGTTTCACCAAAACCAACGGCGCTTTCGGCAGCAGCGCGCTCCCCGTCCTGCCCGTGGCAGCACCTTACCCACAGGAGGGTTTGGAGATGAAGCCCCTCAATCCCCACGTCATGGTGGCCATGTGCCTGGCCTCCCCCAGCCCGGAGGAGGAGGAGGAGGAGGAGGGCAAGGAGGACACAGAGCCACCCTGCACCCGGCGGCCCTGCTGCCCAGGGGCCATGGAACGTCTCTCTGGGGATCCCACCGAGGGTAAGGCATTCCTGAGAGGAGAGCGCTGGCTTTGGGGATGGCAGTAATTCTGTTGGGATCTTAATTTATCTTAAGAAGCTAATAATTAAGCCCAAAAGACCTGGCCTTCCAGGTCCAAGGCTTCCAGCAGCCTTCCAATATCTGAAGGGGCTACAGGAGAGTTGGAGAGGGACTCTTTTTCAGGGAGTGCAGTGACAGGACAAGGGGTAATGGTTTTAATTTGGAAGAGGGGAGATCTAGATTAGATATTAGGAAGAAATTCTTTCCTGTGAGGGTGGTGAGACCCTGGCCCAGGTTGGAGTTGTTCCTGGAACATCCCTGGAGGTGTTCAAGGCCAGGCTGGATGGGGCTTTGAGCAACCTGGTCTGGTGGGAGGTGTCCCTGCCCAGGGCAGGGGGGTTGGAACTCGATGATCTCTAAGATCCCTTCCAACTCTAACCATTCTGTGATTCTGATAGAGGTTTTCCCTAAGGAGCAGGCATCTGTGATGGCCTGGAGCCATCCCATGGGCAGGAACAGGCAGGGGAACGTGGGACCTCGTCGGTGTGACCTGTGCGGTGTCAGTGCCCTGGGCGTGCTGGGGTGGAGCCAACGATGGGAGCTGTCGCCTGGTGCAGGGGGAAGGAGCCTGAGCTCAAAGAGCATCACCTGCTTTTTTAAATCTCAATTTTTGGGGGGCTTGTGGGTCCGTTGAGCTGAGAGAAGAGGTGATCTACTGAAAAAAAATGACCAGCCCACCCTGCTCTTGCTTTGCAGGTGACAACTGCGTGCACTTGGAAACGTCAAACCACGTTTTGAGCTGGAGCCCCCTCCTCCTGCAGGACTGTAACGAAAAACCAGGATGGAATTCATCCGGAGTCACCCTAAACAGTTCTGGGGACCTTCGGCAGCTCCAGCTCCAGGAAACCTGAGGCAGTGACCGTGGTCCCCGCTTAACGCCAGGAACTGCACAGCCGAGTCGCTGAACGGGAGTGATGGAGGGATGTTAATTATAACAGAGAGAGTCACTATTTATTTTTTTGTAGTAGTGTCATATGAATGTATCTTGTTTTTAAAAATGGTTGCCTTTTTATATTATTTATGCCTTGAAATTCTGTTGTGTGGTTTGTTGTTTGTTTTTTTCTTTCTCCCCCGCCCCCCTCCTCCCCGTGCACCATGAATCTAGCCTGGTTCTGTGTATAAAAAAAAAAAAGAATTGTAATAATATAAAGAACAACGCTGGGAAATGGCTACAGACCAGTTAGTCTCACTTCTGTCCCTGGGAAGGTAATGGAGAGACTCATTCTAGATGTCATCTCCAAACATGTTGAAGAGCACGGGGTTATTGGAAGTGGGCACCATGGGTTTGCCAAGGGTAAATCATGTTTGTCCACTCTGATAGCCTTCTATGATGCTTTAACTGGTTGGTTGGATGAGGGGAGGGCAGCAGATGTCATCTACCTTGACTTCAGCGAGGCTTTTGACACTGTCTCCCATAACATCCTCATTGGGAAACTAAGGAAGCGTGGGCTGGAAGAGGGGACAGTGAGGTGGATTGAGAACTGGCTGTGTGACAGGACCCAAAGGGTAATGATTAATGGAGCAGGTTCAAGTTGGAAGCCACTGGAAGACCAGTGGTGTCCCCCAGGGGTCAATACTTGGTCCAGTGCTGTTCAACATATTCATCAGTGACCTGGACGAGGGGACAGAGTGTATCCTCAGCAAGTTTGCTGATGATACCAAACTGGGAGGGGTGGCTGACACCCCCGAGGGCTGTGCCACCATCCAGGGTGACCTGAACAGGCTGGAGAGCTGGGCAAGGAAGAACCTCATGAGGTTCAACAGGGAAAAGTGTAGGGTCCTGCACCTGGGGAAGAAAAATGTCAGGCACCAATACAGGTTAGGGGTGGACCTGCTGGAGACAACTTCTGAAGAGAAAGATCTAGGGGTCCTGGTGGACAGCAAAATGCCAATGAGCAAGCAGGGTGCTCTTGTGGCCAGGAAGGCCAATGGAATCCTGGGCTGTGTAGGGCAGAGTGTGGCCAGCAGGTCAAGGGAAGTCATTCTCCCCCTCTGCTCTGCACTGGGGAGGCCACAACTGGAATCCTGCGTCCAGTTCTGGGCTCCCCAGTTCAAGAGGGACAGGGAACTACTGGAAAGAGTCCAGTGAAGGGCAACAAAGATTGGAGCATCTCCCTTATGAAGAAAGACTGAGAGAGCTGGGACTCTTTAGTCTGGAGAAGAGAAGGCTGAGGGGAGACCTTATCAATGCTGACAAGTATCTCAAGGGAGGGTTGAAGGAGGAGGGAGCCAGACTCTTTTCAGTGGTTCCCAGTGAGAGGACGAGGGGCAACGGGCACAAGTTGGACCATAAGAGGTTCCACTCAAATAGGAGGAAGAACTTCTTCCCAGTGAGGGTGCCAGAGCCCTGGAACAGGCTGCCCAGGGAGGTCGTGGAGTCAATAACCCAGGTGCTTGGACCTTCCCACAGAAAATCCAGTTCGACTGCACTTTTAACTCCTCGGTTTGAGGGAACACGAACGACTCGAACAGCTCTGAGATGAGCCATGTTGTGTTGCAGCAGCTCCTCAGCTGGAAGACACCAGCCTGTCCCTCGGAAACAGCGCGATGTAGGTGTTACAACACGAACCAGGAGGTTTGGGTCTTTAAATTCGGAAAGTTTTAAAAAATAAAAAAAATCAGAGTAAATAAATCAGTGCTTGTAAAGAGCTCCCTTCCCTCCCTCTCCCCCCACCAAAAAAAAAATAATCAAGAGTACATAACCCCAGAAATGAGGCACATAAATTACAATTACCGCAGCCCCAGGGCGACACGTGCAGCCGCTTTTTCACCCAGGGAGTGTTTTTGCAGCGGGGGCCGGGGCGGGAGGAGCGATGCTGGCCCTGCTGGCCCTCGGGGAGCAGAGGCTGCGGGTCCAACAGGTTTTGGGGGAGCAATTCCTCTCTGGGGAAGAAGCTCTTGTGATCAGCATCTCTCTGGGGGCCGTCTGAAGTGATGCAGTGGGTTGGTTTTGATTTATTTCTCCCCCCCCCCCTTATATTGTATTAGCTATAAATATATTAATTTTTTCACCTTTCTTTTTAGGGTTTTGAGTCTTTTCCAGCCAGAGCTGCTGAATTCTGAAGCTCCCTTCTGAATTCTGCAGCCAACCCCATGCAGAGACCCCGGATCTCATGCTCAAAACCCATGGACTTGGGCCACCACCTGCCCCAGCTCCGCTGCAAAGCCCTGCTCCTCCCTCGTCCTTTCTCCTCTCTCTAAACCCGACCTTCTCCTTGCAGCCTGGCTTTCCCCACAGTGGATTTCTCCTCAGCACAAGGCTTTTCCCTGATTTCCGATGGAGGTTGGCATGGGAGTGGTTGGGTTTTCCCTCTGGCTCCTTTGTTTTCCCCCGACGCTGAGATTTAACCGTATTTTTAAACGATTTTGCTTAAATCCGCCCCCGCACGTGTTCCCTTTTATTGTGGCTGTGTCGTGTAGAGAAGCTGTATTTTCCTAAGGAGCTGTAATATTTCTTTGGAAACTATATCTATTTTGAAATGATGTTTTTTGCAGAGGCTTTGGGGTTGGGTTTTCACTTTTAGGGGTGGTTTGATAGAGAGAGTGATGCTGCTTTCTGGCAGGAGCAGGGATTGGTACCCTGTGGGCACTGAAGTGAGGTTGGTTCTCACCACTTGATAATCCCCAACAACTTATTAACCAAAATACAGAAGAAAATAGCCAAAAGTGCTCTCGTTTATCAAAAACGTCAGAAGATGAGGGCCAAGGAAAGCTGGGGACAGCCTGACCCCTTTCCTTTGACCTTGGCTCTCTCTGGACTTGCACAACCATGGGGGAAAACCGCCTCTAATGGCTATTTTTACCATTAGCCTAGAAATGGGGAGTTTGGGGTGAAGATGAGGACTCCTTCCCCACCCACCAAAGCTTTGTGGCTCTCTTGGCACTGCATGAAATCCAGCGTGGTCCCAAAACAGCCTCCACCTCTGCAGCCCCTGCAGGCCCTTGGGCTGCGAGCGGAGCTTCAGCCCTTGGGGTGTTCTTTGGTTTTTTTCTCCCATGAGTGAGAAAATATTTATTTTAGCTCCAGAAGTAACTAAAGCCTTAAGGCTGAGCTGGAGGGGGTCTCACCGGGTGCTGCGTTGCTTTTCACAGCACCTCAAACCAGGTTGAGTCCGGCACGAGGCTTCTGAACCTCCAGGTTTTGGGGGTTAGAAAAGCCACAAGCCCCAGGTGTTTGGGTTTTTTTGGGGGCTGGGTCTGGATTGCAGATGTTTTTCCAGCAGCCTGGAAGGAGACGTGTCCACCTTTCCTGGCTTTATTGATGCCGAGGGCCCGGCGGGATGCGGCACCGACCGGCTGAGGGGGGGAAATGAGGTGGGGGAGAGGGAAACGAAGAGGACGAGCCCGAGAGGTCACGGTGTCGCCGTCACGGTGATGGTGACGTTCACCGGCGGGTCTTCTGCGGCGTCCCCCGGTGCTGAGAGGGGCTCTGTGAGGTGTGGGAGAGCCCCCCGTGATACCGGGTGGGTGCCAGGTCACCGGGGGCGGGGGGGGTGGCTCAGGCCTCGGCTCACCCCGCGGGCACCAGTACCTGTGCCAGGGGCAGCCGGGTCTCCCGGGGCTGGGGCTGCTCCTTCCTCCCTGCCTGCGACCGTTTCGGCATCCTCCGGGGTGGCCACGGGCTCCTGGGCGCCGGGGCTGGCCCTTTTTGGGGGGAAGGGGGGGACAGGTGGGGGTCACAGCGGTGCTGGGGTGCAGCAGCCGTGGGGCAAGGGCGTCCAGTGACTCACGTGCGGAAGAGCAGCTCGTGCAGCCCTGGGGATAGACAGACAGACAGATGGGTGTGCGATACGGTTGGCCAGGGTCCTGCTGGGATACACAACCCCCCCCAACTCGCCCCCCCCGACCCCCAGCACTCACGAGGGAGGGTGTCCCGGTGGCGGGCGACCCAGCGCACGGCCAGCAGCGAGGCTGCGGTGGCCACCAGCATCCCGACCACCGCTGCTCCCATCACTGCCGGGTAGGCCTCGAAGGGAGGCTCAGCTGGAAGAGAAGGGGGGCTCGTCAGCCTGTGTGTGTGTCTCCCCCCCCACCCCCCCTCCACCCAGGGGTAATTAGGATAACGAGGTGAGCTGCACCGAGGGGGAGGAGGCAGCAGGCACTCCCTACCGAGGCCCAGCAGAGCCCAAAAAGTGCCCGTTCACTCTGGAACCTACTGACGGTGGCTCCCCCTCGGCTCCGTGGAGCTGCAAACGTCGCCCTTCTCCACTCCAACCCTGCTCTGCCCCTGGGGGGGGGAGCAGCGTGTGTGTGTCCCGTCCCCCCCCCAACTTCACCTGGCGTCTGCACCTCGGAGGGGTACCCGGCCGTCCGGTGGTTGACGGCCAGGACGCGGAAAGCGTAGACCACGGCCGGGTCCAGCCCCCCCAGGCGCCGGTTGCGGGAGTGGGGCTCGATGTCTCCGGCGGCCGTTTCCCAGGGGCCGGGTGCCCGCCGGGGGGGTCCCTTGGCCTGACGCCGCTGCACCACGAAGCCGGTGAGGTTGCCGGCGCCCTGCGTCCGCCACTCCAGCCGCACCTCGGTGCGCGCCCGCGTGTAGCGCAGCCTGCTGATGGTGACGTTGGGGGGCGCGGGGTACCCTGCGGCCAGACGGAGCGTGGCAGGATTGGGGGAGGGATGACCCTCCCCAAACCCACCCCGGGGGGTTGGGGGGGGACACCCTGCAGGACTCACGGTCCACGCGGAGGCGGACGGGGAGGCTGGCGGTGCCCACGGCGTTGGCCGCCGTGCAGCGGTAGGTGCCGCCGTCCCCCGGCCACTCGGTGTCCCCCACGGTGAGGTTGACCCACGTCTCGCCCCGCTCCAGCTGGTACTTCTTGGCCAACCCCGGCGTCACCTCCCGCTCCTTGGGGCCGTACCACGCCAGGGTGGCACCCAGGCTGTCACTGCGGTGCCGGCACGCCAGCCGCGCTGCGCCGCCCTCCAGCACCGCCACCTCGCTCCTCTCCACCTCCAGCCTGGGCACCTCTGTGGGGGGACAAGGGGGATGCGGAGGTGGCACCCCCACATCACCCTCCGCCCCCAGTGGCACCCCGGGGAGGGGTCCCCCTTACCCAGGTGCAGGCGGCACGCGGGGCTGGTGGCCAGCAGCGGGTGGGTGGCTGTGCAGACGAAGTCCCGTCCCCCCAGGCTGCCGTCAGTGCTCAGCACCAGGATGGCACTGGAGGGTGAGGGGTCCCCCAAGGGCCGGCCCCCGCTGTCCCCCCAGCGCAGGGTGACCGGCGGCGTCCCCCCCTCCCACCGGCACCGCAGCATCACGTACTCGTCACCCTTGGTGGCTGCTGCCGCGCAGGAGGGGCCGCCAGCCGGGACCCCTGCGGGATGGAGAGGTTGGGGTACGGTGATGCTGCCCCCCTAAAGGGGGACCACCCCCAGGGCACGGGGTGGGGGGGTCTTTACAACCCAGCTGCGTCGTGGGGACCCCCATCTTGGAGCAAGCTGGGGGTCCCAACCAAGGCAGTGTCACCTTGGGGTGCCCACCCTGTGACATGGGGGTCACCATGGCTCTGGGGAGGGAGATGGGGGGGGGGTCAGGA